CTTTTGGTATGGCAGAGTTCTCCCATCTTTTTTCAGTGATGACCTCATGCACATGAGGAGAGCGCTGACTGAAGATGGAGATGACTCCACACCGTGTCAGAATAGCAGCATTTCACAAGGGCAGGTGAATTCCCAAGTCAGCCTTCATCTTTAAAGTTTCTTTCTAATCTCAAAGGACATTACAGGGATATTTAAGGACCACTTTATTGGTATTAGCCTCCAATAACAGTAACCACAGTGGGCAAATGTTTTTCTCATTTCAACGATTGATACTAGAGATATACTTTAAATGCCCATGAGAACTGGCTTTGAAAAGGACTCAGAAGGTTGTGATACAAACCCCTTTATCGAGGTTGCCCTGTGCGTTTGGCCTCTATTTCACTGTCTCCCATTTCCTACATATAACGTAATGGTCACCCTTTTCCTGTTGCCCAAGGGCAGCAATTTCCACCGTAGAGAACATATTTCTTACATATCCTTTAGTAATCATAGACAACTGAATGATTTCCCCTTGTTATCAGCGAAAGAGTGCCCTGAGCCTATTTTGGGTAGAAATGCCAGTCTCTCCTCTGCTTTGCAGGCAGGAAGCCTGTGGTCAAAGCCACGCTCGGCCACCTGGGATTGCACATCTCACATGACAACAGAAACAGAAGTTGTTTTTAAATGCCAAGGAGGAGCCACTTGCCAGTCTGCAATCAGGCTGTGAAAATGCAAGCCAGTAATCAATTTCTGAGGGGGCGGGCAGGTAGGTGTTCATAGGGAAGAAATATTTTCACTAAAGAAACAAACCAAGCCTGGAGAAGTTAAGAGCACACACTGTTCTTTCAGATAACCTGGGTTCACTTACCAGCATCCACATGGCAGCTCACAATCACGTATAACTCCAGTTTCAGGGGCTCAAACACCATCTTCTGGCCTCCGTGGGCACCAAGCACACACATGGTGCTCAGAGATTTTATGTAGGCAAAACACCCATACACACAAAATAAAAATTTAAAGGAATCTTTCAAAGAAGGAAACAAACCAGTTCTATTTGTAAGCTAGACTTGTTCACCATCTCCTTACAGCAGCTCTGACTGACATAGAACAAAGCTTTTGTAGTCAGACGTGGTGGCACAGACTGTAATCACAGCTACTCCAGGGCTTAATATAAGAGGATTGCAAGTTCAAGGCCTGGACAACTCTTGAGACCTTATCTCAAAAGGGAGAGTAAAATGAGGGTTTGAGACACATGTCAATGGCAGAGTGTTTGTTGAACATGTACAAACCTTAAATTGAATCCCCAATTCTACCACAAAAGATGGACTACCTGGCTCTAGTGTGAGGGTCCAAGCCAGGAGTACCCAGAACTTGCAGGCTCAGGGACAGTGCCAGGAGTTGGAAGCTGTGGCCCAGCGGCACACGTGATACCAGCAGAGGACAAGGAGTTCCAGGCAAAGCATGAGAGCACAGCACTTGAACAGACTGAACGCTTGCAGAAGATTCTGGAAAAGCTCTGTCAGTTCTCACCGGTAGGAAAAGAAATTCTTCAGATGGAAGCAAAAGATTTTATGACTCTTGGGAAGCATTTGCTGAGAAATCAGGTGTCAGACATTGTCCAAGGCATTGACAGTGTATGGATTCCACTCTCCTACAAACCTGGGAAATAAGCATTATCCCATTTGACAGACACAAAACCGAGGTTCAGAGACAGTAAAGTGCCTTCCAAATTGATCAGAAAAGAAACTTAGATTCTAGCTTAGTGATGTCAGGCACCCAGCATTACTTACCTGGCAAGACTTGCTAGAAATGATTGAGTTCCATCTTACCTACAGAGCATGCATTCTGCCTTCCTGCAGATGGACCTCAAGCACTTTGGGGTCAGGACTCAACATCCTAGGCAGAAAGATGTGCATTATCAGTCAGTGAGGCTGGAAATCTCCAAAGGAGAGCCTCATAAGACAGAAGTAATGATGATGGACTGTGATATGAAAATACAGACACAAAATGACATTTCATTAAAAAAATAAGACTATTGATACCCAATCTCTGATTGCTTGTGAATTTATTAGCTCCTCATTTACTTCTCAATTTAGTTCTTCTTAAGGTCTCAGGATGCAGGCTGTTATTAGTGCATTCACATGCCTTCTTGGGAAATACAGTGGAGTTAAACATCGAATGTCCCCAGGCCCAAATGAACTTGTAAACTAAAATTAGCAGATGTATCAAGAATGTAGAAAAGACACTCTGCGGTAGCTCTAAGGTGATGTAGTATGTAATGACTGATCTTGGATACAAACTTGGCATACCTAGGAGGAAGGAACCTCAGCTGAAGAGTTGTCTTCCATCAGATTAACCCATGGAGTATGTCTGTTTGTGAGGAGCCGCCCTCGCTATCGCTATTGCCGTTAGAAGATGGCGCTGACATCTGCTGTCAGTTGGAGTTAACCGTTAGAAGATGGCGCTGACATCTGCTGTCAGTTGGAGTTAACCGTTTAAGCTGTGCACCTCCCGTGGCGTCATCTGGGGTGATGTGCAAACCACCAATCCCGGCTCTACACGTCTCACTCGGAGCTCCTAGGCTTATATAAGGGGCTGGGTTTCTTAGCTTGGGGTCTCCCTCTAAGAAGCTGATCATCTATCTCTCAAGATGCATTAAAGCTTTACTGCAGAAGGATCCGAGTGTTCTGCGTCGTTCTTGCTGGCGAGACGGTAGCGCGGGACATCTGTTGGCATTTTTCTTGATTGCTAATTATGCAGGATGGTCCAGTCCCACTGACCATACTACTCCTAAGCAGGTAGCTCTGGGTTGTGTGAGAAAGGTGACTGGGTAGGACCTGGAAGCCAGTAAGCCTTATTTGCTCCCCTGTGCTCCTACCTTGAGTTCCTGCCTTGGCATCCCCTGAGAATAGACTGTCAACTGTGAGTAGAATAAACCCTCTCCTTCCTGAGTGTTGGTCACTGCAACAGAAAGCAAAGTAGAACAGGGTACCCTGTAAACTAAAGTGGTGGTGGAGACGCCATTCAGGCTCCAACAGTCAGCAGTCAAGTTTTGTTGCTTAGAAACAAACAATCAAAAGAAGAGCAAAGCAGAACAGTTCCTCTAGCATGGGAAAGGCTCACCTGGAGAAGGAAGGTGTCTTATGAAAGAAAGAAGGATAACAATGAGTGGTTGCCCGTTGATCGCACCCACTAAGTGGGATGCTGGAGTTGGCAGGTGCTAGCATTGAAAGGATTTGACTGTACCAGCTATGGTCCTGGTGGGATTTTCAGGGTATCTACTGTCCAGTTGCTTAATAGCTATGCATTTGGAAGAGGCACTCCAGACAACATGTGTGGAGTCACTAGCAGTGAATTCTGACTACTGAAAATTAACGACAGGACCACTGTGAATTTGTTACCATTGGGAGAGAGATTGAGTCACTTCATGATACCCTAACAAAACTGATCCTTTCCACCATGAAAATTCTGATGCCTGTGACCCAGAAACTTGCCCCACATGACAGTAGCCCTATACAGTGAACAGACAGTCTCTTTGCTTGACATTATACTAGAAACACACCACCATGTCTCTTTTCGATGACTGTCTTATAATTAGATTAAATTATGAGTTGCTCTTTCCAAGTCCACATCTAGTTCCTAAATCACTTTGAACTGAAGTAACAAGTACTTAAGGTTCTATGGCCATCCTTTTCTTCCCATCCAGGAAGTATAATTTAGTATCATCATTATCCTCCAAGGCAATAGAAGCACACGTTCTGGTACCCAGTCTCCAACTCTCTGTGTTGTCAGGGACTGTTCTGGACATCCTCTTTTGGGTCTGAGCTTCCCTTCTAGACTTTAAAGTCCAGCCTCTGAAATCCTGCCAGATGATTCGACTCAGGTTTATTTTCTTTTTAAACAATCTTTTTTTATTTTACATAACAACTCCAGTTCCCCCTCCTTCCCCTTCTCCTGCTCCCTCCATCTTCCCCCCCACTCTGCTCCCATCCACTTTTCAGAGAGGGTGAGGCCTCCCATGGGGAGTCAATAAAGCCTATTACAAGACCAAGTCTCCCTCCCATCTAGGCTGAGCAAGGTATCTCTCCATAGGGAATGCACTAGGGATAAATCCTGGTCCCACTGCCAGTGGCCTGGTAAACTGTCAAAGCCACACAACTGTCATCCACATTCAGAGGGCATAGTTTGGTCCTACTCAGGTTCCCCAGAAGTCAGTCCAGAGTCAGTGAGCTCCCACTAGCTCGGGTCAGCTGTCTCTGTGGGTTTCCCCATCATGACCTTGACGCCTTTGCTCCTATTATTGCTCCTCCCCTCTCTTTGACTGGACTCTAGGAGCTCAGCCCAGTGCTTAGCTGTGGATCTCCACACTTGCTCCCATCAGTTACTCGATGAAAGCTCTATGATGACATTTAAGGTAGTCATCAGTGTGATGACAGGGGACCCTCTCCACTATTGCTTAGATAGACTCAGGCTTCTGAGAGGTGATCTTCTAGATGGCCCCACCCAACCCTACATGGCATCATTCACCTGACATGCTCATGATCTATGTAGGTCTGCCAATGGAGTCATGTCACATTTTGTCTACTCTACCACTGTCTTATCTTAGGAGATGACAGTTTTGCCCAAATCGTCACTGAGTGTCTACACACTTAGACACTTGTGAGCAGCTTCTTCTGCCCTTCACGGCATCTTCAGCCTTGTGGACATCTCTAATCAGTTTTCCCCTTATACACAGATTATCTACTGCAAACCCACATTTTTAACAATTATTTTAGTTTTAATTAGGTTTGGAGGAGGGGTATGTGTGCATGAATGCTGATACCCACAAAGATCAGAAGAATTGGATCCCATTGGAGTTCCAAGTGGCTGTGAATCACCTTCTGTGGGTGCTGCTAACTGACCTTTGCTCATTTGCAAGAACAGCAGGCACACTCTTAACTGCTGAGCCATCTCTCTAGTCCCTAAGTTCAAGTCTTTATCTCACTAGAGATGACAACCCTGCAGGTGGCATCCACCTTCTTTCGAAGAAGAGGAATACACAGGCACGGCAGACCAAGCGAAGGGAATTGGTGAAAACGTCGTACAAGGCAGGCAGCCTGACACACGTCATGACAATGAATTAGGCAAGGAGTAGAAGAGAGCCTCCCGGTAGAGGAAATGAGGTAACACTGGCAGGGACCAGCAATCACCCGGCTCGGCAGGAAGTGGAAAGAAGATTAGTGTGTGGGGAGCAAGAGATGGGAAGTTGGAGAGGGTGTGGCTGCCTGGAACAGCAAGACTCTCCCTGGGAGCCCTTGGGCCTCAGCCCTAAGAGGAAGGAGCAGTAGAGTCATCCTCCTGTGGTTCTCCTCTTGAGCTTCTGCCTCCAGTGTTTCTGTGCAGCTTGTCAGGAGAAAGTGGAAGCGCCAAGGCTGAAAAGTCAGGCCTCAACTCTATGTCAGAGCCTCCAACGAAGCCTGACAAGAAATCGTCTATGCCGAGAAGTTAATTTGCATGTATTATATGCCACTGCTGAACCCAGGACAATAATGTCACCTGCAGAGGTAAGCCCTCCCTGATTACCTCTTTGAAACATTTCTTAATCCTCACTAATATGCAAAAGTGGAATTATGCTTAGTCATACACATATGCCGATACATGGGCACACATGACAACACACATGTGTGAATACACACAATTTTTCAAAGAAAAACGAGATTAGCCATGCCTTGTAGCCATAGCCTCAAAAATATTCACATTACTAGTATTTTGCCTACTAGCTACTAATCCCAGTTAATGTGGAGATTAGAGAAGGAGCTCTAATATTTACTGGAATCATACTTCAGCCAGATATAAAGAGACAGGCTTTTTTGTTTTTAACAGGCCTTTTCATAGATCGTCTTCTAAATATAATGGGACAGAGAGTAAGGAAAAAGCCAATCTATCCAAGGCATCTTCACACATGACACTAAGATTACAGCAGGCCTTGAACGCTAACAAAGCTTAGTCCATATCTCATTAGCTCATTCAAAGAGTAAGTGTATAAGTGAAATAAAATAAACAGAGAAATCCCTGAGTTAAGTCTCAAAGATGAAGGAAAATCAACACATAATTGTTCTTTTTTGTTTGTTTTTTACACTATTTTGTCATTTGAAGAAGTTTCCTTATTTGGTCACTTCTAGTCTTCCCCTCACACTCGGCTCCTGTGAATTTAAAAACTATATATAAACTCCAGATAAGTATATCACAGGAAAACCGGTCTTTGATGACTATAGAACTGAAAACTCTTATTAATTTAGTGACAAACAAAATCCATAAAGAGAGCAAACAAATTATATACATGTGCATGTGTCCCACAACACACCAGGTATTCAAGGTTAGTTTACCATCTGGAAATCAACGTGTCTGATGTATTACATTAGAACAACAATGTTTGAAAGTCATATGATCATATGAACAAGGGGGGAATATCTGTCAAGTATCCAAATGAAGAAAACACATAAGTTATTAAAGAGGAATTTTGTGAACCTCTTTTTAAAAATCCCCTATGAAAAGCTTACAGCTAAATGAAAAGAATGCAAGGCCATCCATTTTCAACATTTTCATGTTTAACCTGTATTTCTTCTTTTTTCCCCTAGGCTCTCAAAACCTTGGATTCAAAGGATCTTCCTGCCTCAGCCTCCAAAATTGTTGTTATACAATAAAATTCTACCACACCTCCTTCATTCTTGACATTTAGATTTCAAATTTTCCTGGAAATTCTAATCAAGCAAGGAATGGCAATTGAAATTTTCATGTTGAAAAGGAAGAAGTAAAACTATCTCTACTTGTTGAAAATGTCCTATAAGTGAAAAATGCTAAAAACTTCACAGCAAGAGTAAAATTAATTCATAAGCAGCAAGTCTAAGGAGTAGCTCAGCAACACAGGACTCCACTTAGCTTGGGTTATACTCATCTTTATCTTCTAACAATACCCTGAGTTCTTACATGCACATACCGTGCTCATACTTCCTCTCCTAACAACAGACTTAGCAATGCAGGACCTCTATTTATATCCAGTTTCACACACACACTCCCAATTCTAGACAATGAAAGAAGTTTCTCATCTTCACTAACAAAATGTTTAAAAGTCCCATTTTGTGGACCAGTTTCTTCTATTCAAATGCACTTCAGATGTATACAGGTTTGTGGGTAAGCAGGTCAATCCAGACTAGTCTAGTTTGGGATATATGCACAGTAAGGTAAAAAGAAAGTGTCTTCTTTGTGAACTCTTAGGGGAAATCCCCTATTTACCATCTTATGCATATGTAAAATTGGACTTGCATATGGTTAAAAACCAGATGCATCATGAGACAAGCATAAGCAGTGAGCAAAAGCTTACATAATTCAAATGTGTCAATTAAAATAAGGGAAGCGCCCAAATTATGCCCTAAGTTATGATCCTCTTCATCCTTCTAGGTTCACAAAGGAAGCCTGAGGCAATAGCCTGGGACCTTTAGGACTCTCTCATAAATGTCACTCTTGATAGCACATTCCTGTCTGTGCTATTACTTTGATTTTGCACAAAAATTTCCAACTTTACTATATGTGTGTATCTTTATGTTGATTCCTTGAGTAAGACACCAAGAACCAGAAAACACCTTGTCCAAACACCAGCCAACAGTAAAAAGAAAAAAACTAGTCAATTAGATTATAGGATATAATATTAATAAGAAAAAGTCTATTCATATCATAATGAAAGGTGTAAAAATGAGGTCTGGAGACACAGCGCACCTGCTGTGCAAGCATGAGGACCTGAGTTCAAATCCCTGTCACCTGCACGTAAAGTTGAGCACATACTTGTAATGTCAGCATTAAGGGGCAGAAATAGGCAGCTCCCTAAAGATTAGTGACAACCATCTCATCCAAAAGAGGGAAAGACTGTTTCAAAGCAATAATATTGAGAATGGAGTGGAAGACAGCCAATTCCTTTTGTGGCCTTGGTATATTTGTGTACAGAAGCACATAGGCCTACACACTCACAACATAAACCATACTCCCAACATAAGCCACACACACAAAGACTATAAAAATGAAACTAATGAGTAATTCCATTTACAATGGTATTAAAATAATAGAGTAATAATAAATTTAACTAAAAAGATATGTTATTTGTATATTGGATATCTAAAAGGAAATTATCTGCAAATATGGATAGTTGGAACTCTTCCTATTGTATCTCTTTGTTCTCCTTCAGTTGTCTTACTGGTTAACCTAAGACTTCAAGTACTATATTGGAGAGAGTGGACAGCCCTGACTTATTCCTGCTTTTAGTGGAGCTGCTTTGAGTTTCTCTCCATTTAAGTTGATGTTGGCTGTGGGTTTGTAGTAAGCTTCCTTTATTATGTTGAGCTATGCCACTTGTATCCCTCGTTTCTCCAGGACTTTTATCATGAATGAATGTTGGGATTTGTCAAACCCTTTCCTGCATGTATGGGATGATCCTTTGGTTTTGCCTTTAATCTGTTTATGTGGTGGATTATGTTTACTGACTTATATAAGTTGAGCCATCCTTGCATCCCTAGGTTAACAGTGAATAACAGCAACAGGTGAATTAAAATTTTTCATGGACTGGAAGGGACCATAACCTAGGAGATGGAAGGGAAGTTAATAAGATGCAGAAGAAAAGGAATGGAAGAGAAGGAATAAATAACACTATGGAAAAGCCATAAGGAAATAGATTATTTATAAGATCACTTTAAAATACATTTTGCATGTGTGTGTGCATGTTAAGTGGAGTTATGTCTTATGGGGTGACAATGCTTCCTCTGGGAGCCACGGGATATTGCCACTGCACTTGGTTGCCTCTCAGAACTTGAAAGTAAGAACCTATTGCTGGAGACAGCACATCAGCACATACTAGGGACCCAGGACTGGGTGGAATCAAGTTTGTACTGCCTTGGAAGCCTCCTCCCTAAGAGATAGCACTCATAATATCAAAAGGTGTGTGTAAGCTGCCAACAGGGAGAAAAGTGATCAATAGTCCTATACAGTTATATGCTCGTAAACTACAACAATGGTCTAATATTGCTGATGGCTCAGTAATGACACTTATATCTTTGGGAAAAACAACATCTGTCTAATTGGACTTAAGGCTCTCTCAATAGGGAAGAACTCGTGCCTGATACTGTAAATATACACACGAATCCATGCCATTTTCCTAAACTAATATAGCTTCTAACTGCATTCTAAATATTTATCATTATTCTCATGGATGACTATGTTTCTCACCTCTTATCAAAGATACTACCTTTGCAGCAGATGGAGGTTACTAATATCCTCAACTGTTTAAAATAACTGATTGCCTACAACTGGTATGTCCACAACATGGCCTCCACACTTGAGGCTCAGAGAACATCACAAAATATGGAGCAGAAGGATTGTAAAAGCTAAAGGACGAGGGTGTTTACTGTGAGGCAGTGTCTTCTAGACGTGACAGAGAGGATGTATCCATGAAATCTCAAAAGTATGGCTGTATTCACAAGGCATGCACAATGACCACACCCATCAACATGCCACCATGGATGATGAAAGAAATTTCACAAGCAGCTAAGGGAGGGAGAATAAGTTTTCTCCATGGACAAGCCCCCTGAGAGGACATCCAATTCTATATAGTCAACTCTAAACACATCTACACATAGGCAACAGCATCAGACTCTGAAAGTAAATTTGCACATAAATATATGCATATACATGTATATGTGTATTTGTGTAGCAATGATTGCAGAATAAGAGGTTATAAGTTTGAGAGGTGACTGGGGGAGGTCAGAAGTTGGAGAGGGGACAGGGAGGGTAGAAATGATGTAATACAACATATTCATGTATGAAATTTTTGAAGAAAATTACATGAAAGTATACAAGGTACTTCTGAATAAATATTTTCCAAGTTTGATATACAAATGGTCACACACAAGATGTTCGGTTTCATTATTCACTAGAGCAATTCACATGAAAATCATTATGAGCTACTTCTTCATTCACACCAAATCAAGAAAAAGTAAAAATGTCAAGAGTCATTAAGAGTATGGAGAAATTGAGCCTTCATACACTAACAGAAAAGTGGCATAGCTGTTGTGGAAAAGACTTTCACTGCTCTTCAACAGTTCCTTTGGTTTGTTGGTTTGGTCTTTGAAACAGGATCTTTCTTTATATCCCAGGTTGCCTTGAACTCCCAATCCTCCTGCCTAAGTCTCCTGAGGTATTCTAAGCATGGACCACCATGTAGCAATTTAAATATAAAATTGTTATGTGACCCAATCAGCCCATTTGTAAGATAGACCCATAACAATTCAAAATAAGTGAGCAACTAAAACATGAATATTCTTATTCGATAGTTGGTAGCTCAAATGCCCAACTACCTGCCAACAAGTGAATGGGAAACAACACGCAGGGCTTGGAGATGTCCCTCAGTTGAAAGAACACTTGCTTTCAGACTGAACTCTGAGTTTGGGCCTCAGCACCGCATACACCAGGTGAACTGTTAGTAGACACAGGAGGATCAGAAGTTCAAGCAGATGACCGTGTGGAGCCATATATCAGATTCTAGTCTTGTTTGGGATGCATAAGACTCTCAAAAACAACAACAATCCATGGTGTGTGCAGTCAATAAAATATTGTTCACTTACAAGATGCATGATTACATCATGCCGCAAAACCATTATGATAAGCGAATGAAGGCTGACACAAAGGATGCTATATCATCATTCTATTAATCCATTTGTTTTGGCTATTCAAGGTCTGTTTCATTCCATAGAAATTTCAGAGTCAACTTTGTCATTTATATCCTGACTAAGCAAATCCACAGATATGGAAAGTAGGTGTGGGGGGGGGGCGTCAATGACACTGACTGCTCAGTGATTGTAGGCTTGCTTCCTGGTTACGGTTCTTAAACTAGATGGCGGTAATGTTGCAATGTGAGTGTACTTATTATCACCAATGAGCTGAAATGACTAACGTGGAAAACACTTTTGGCCATGGACACTTTTACCATAGTTTCTTAAAGGCATTACAACCAACATTATTCATGTGCCTGCAAATCCTATTCCTATGTCGTTGATAACATGTAATCTGGAACCCAGGAGAGTAGCGTCATTGCCCTCACAGAAGGATGGACACAGACGAGAGTGAGGTCTTCCACGGAGCCTGTGTCTGTGCCTGGACCTTAGGACAAACTTAACAGGCAAGCAAAAGAAGGTGTAAGCAGGGGAATGAATGAGCGACTGTGATGTAGAATGCAGAACGAACGGGCACATTTGTCTCACCGCTAGGTGGGTGGACCAGGCGCTCCACCAGTACCTCTTCAGCCACTGTCACCGTGCCCATCCCACTGGCTCCTGTGCCGGCCAGAAACATAGTTCCTGCATTGTTTTTTCTGTACTTCAAGGAATTGTTAATAATTTAGAAAAATAAATAATGCAGATCCATCATTCCCCCATGATTTCAAGCAGCGTAAAACAAAACCAAACAAGATGTAATCTAGAGAAAAAGCCAAGGTTTTCAACAGGCTAAAAGGTAAGGTATTCCTAAATTGAGCACTGATACGCTGTGGGAAAGAGAATTTCCTCTAAAATCCACGTGCACACAATTCCATAACACCTGCTTATAGTTTGAGGGCTCTGTGACAGCCTGAGCTCAGAGATAAAGCTCCTAGGCATGGGTTGCCTCTGTCTCTGTAATCCCATA